GCGGGCCTTCTGCCTGCCCTGGCCACCACCGTCCTCGGTGCCTGGGCAGGGTCTGCACCTCACTGATGCTCCGGTGATTTTCTGATGAATGGCGTGGGCCGGACCAGGGGCTGGGGTGGGTTGCACCCCAAGTTGAGCTCTGAGGATGTGACCCTTGGCCCCCGTGGCGCCTCCCTCGGGAGTTGAGTGGCCTTTCTGCAGTGAGGCGAGGAGGCCAGCCTCGTTCCTGCGGCATGAGCAGGTGGAGGCCGTGTCCAGGGCCTGGCAGTAGTGGCCTTGACTGTTGAGGTGAGACAGGGCACTTTACCTGTGCTCGGCACAGAGACTTGCACCCTGGCTCTTTGGCAGGAGCAGCCAAAGCGTCCCATGGACACAGAGACCCCCAGAGGCAGCAGAGCCCACGCTAGCCCTGCTTGGAGCGCCAGTGCCGTCCTCCCCTGGGGGTGACCGTCCGGCAACATGCAGGCTGTCCTCTTGCACACCAGGCGCACCTGCCACAGGGCCTTTGCACCTGCTGTTCCTGCAGCCTGCAGCTCTTTTTCTTGGACACCGGGTGACTCTCTTCCTCCACATCTTTGCCCAAGTGACACCCGCTGGTGACGTGCCCCTGCCCGCCTGCTTTAAACTGTGCTCCCTTCAGTTCCCGCCTTCTGGCTGTTTTTCTGGTGGTGTGAATGCTTTCCAGCGCCCTGTCACTCCTGTGTCACTGGGAGGATGGTGGCTCACGGGGGCCTGTGTCCCAGCCCCCGACACCCAGTAGGTGCCCATGTGCCATGGTGGGCAGAGCGGCAAGCCGCCAGGCTGCCCGCCCGAGGTCTTCCTCCACCTCGACCACGGGGCCAGGTCGGGAGGGTGCCCCTGCCACGCCTGGCATCTGCAGCTCAGGCTTCCCTGGAGAGCGGCTTCCTGGCATCCCTTCTGTGCTAGTGTCCCTGCTGAGGGCGGCCCAGCTGCGGCCGGCTCCCAGTAAATGGGCGGGGTGCAAACAGGCAGCTCTGTGGGCCACCCTCCAGCCATCCCACCCGCAGCCCAGAGTCGCCCCGTCCCCGAGGCCTCCCTGGGGCAGGGGGGCTGCGGTGCTCACGTTTAGGACGCGTCCATCAGATGCCTGCCGTGTGCCCGTCTGGGGCAGTGCAGTGAACGCCTCAAGCATTTATTGAGCACCTACTATGTAGGCAGTGTCCCGCGTGAGTGTGGCCTCACGGAATGAGGGTCTTGCAGCTGTCATCAGCCAAGGCGAGGTCCGGTAGGATGGTGTCCTTGTGAGAAGAGGAGGCGGGGGCCAGAGGCTGTGGAGGCGGAGGATGACCCAGGGTTGCTGGCAGTGCCCGAGGCTGGGAGAGGAAGGAAGGGTTCCCGGGGGCTGGATGGGGGGCTTGGAGGGGGCACGTGCTCCTGTGGCTGTGAGTCCCTGTCTGCTGCGATGCCCCCCGGAGACCAGCACGCCTGCGGGCACCCCTCCCGGTCGAGGTGAGCCCCAAGGAGGCCGTCCACACTCAGGCTCGTGGAGTCTGTGCGTCTGGCTGGGCGGGCTTGGGTGGGGGCTCAGGTTCCCACTGTGGCTCCACCACCCCAGGAGGACCCCGGGCCTTGGGTGTCTCCGAGCATGGGGCAGGGTGGTGTTGGTGGTGGCGGCGGCACTGTCGAGCCTGTGTGTGTGTGTGTGTGTGTGTGTGTGTGCGCGCGCGTGTGCACATGTGTCTGCTCGCGTGTGTATATGCATGTACGTGCATGTACACATTTGCACAGACACTGGTGTGTATGCACAGTGCACATATATGCGTGCATGCATGTGTGTATGCACACGTGTGCACACTTATGTGCACTGCTCATGTGTGTATGTGTGCATATTCATGCGTGTGCATGCGTGAGTGTATGCACGTACGCCTGCATCATGCACATGCACACGTGGGCATGCATACACATGCACAGGTGCATGAGTGCACATATGTGTATGCACGCACACGTACATATACGTGCGTGTATTCATGTGTGTGCATGTGTGTGTGCGTGCGCGCCGCGCTCCCTGCCTGGCAGGCTGATTTTTAAGCCCAAGGCTCCCACTTTCTCCAAGCTCTGATGTCACATCAGTCCAAGGATGGATCAGGCCGTGTGGCACAGACAGCACCTGGGCACATGTGCTCTGCACCCGCCCTGCCCGCTCCCGGGGGCGCCTCCACCTCCCGGGTCTGGAGGCGCTGGCTTGGAAAATCTATGGAATGTGTGTTGGAGTGGCCGGGTCCTGCAGCTGGATTGGAATGTGAGGCCGGAGGCCTTGGAAGCTTCTAGGGCCTGAGGAAGGGAAGCTGCCCGGCGGGTGAGGCCACGCAGGCGTATGGTTTTTGGCATCACTGTGGCACCTCTGCCAGGCAGCTTCATCCATGAGCACCTACTGTGTGCCAGGCTCGGTGAGAGGCCCCAGCTGCAGTGGGAAGCCGGGCAGGCAGCCGGTCGGCCAGCGTTCCCGTCTTTCGGCGTGAGACCCCCCGGGGCGCCAGGTTTCCTGCCTTCCTCCTTCCCTTCAGGGCAGGCTCCAGCTCAGATGTCACCTCCTCCGGGAAGCCCCCCTTGTGTCCCCACCTTACCAGAGCCGCACAGTGGCTGGGAGCAGGGAGTGGGTGCAGCAGGGCCGTCGGGTCCGGGATCAGACTGCTGTCTGGGGGCGTGGGCAGCCAAGGCTTCCTCTCCTCCCTGTTGCCACCTTCTGCCCACGGCCCAGTGGTGCTGAGAGTCTCCTTGTGCCGTGAGTGGGTACCCCGGCATGGGGTGTTTCCCGCCATCCTGGGCCACAGGGCCCTGGGGCTGAGTCTGGAGGCTGTGCTACGTAGAGGCTGGCGTGGGACCTGGCCACCTAGGCTCTGTGCCCCCCTTGCCTGGCTGTCTCTTTCTCCTCGAGGCCGCCGTCGCTGAGTGCACCTTACCGAACACCCGCTATTTACGGAGCCCCTAGATGCGTCTCTGTGCTCCAGCCCGGGTGGCTGAGTGAGACTTCGACTTAGAAAAAAAGGCAGTAATAGTAACAACTGTTATTGCTGAGCACCTACTGTGTGCCAGGCCCTGTGGATGCTGGTCCCCATCCTGGCCCTTGCTGTGGCACAGGACTGTGGATGGGGTGTCCCGCGTGGCTGTGTGTGTGCTCCCTGATTCCCGCCCCAGTCCACGTGGCGCTGGGCTCAGTGCACGCCTGTTGGCGTAAGTGTCTCTTACCAAGAAATGGCACCTAGCCGGGCTCGGTGGCTCAGCCTGTAATCCCACGCCTTTGGGAGGCTGAGGTGAG